ATTATATTTGTTCTAATTGGGCCCAGTTGGAGAGGAAGGAATATTAGTAGAAAATTAAAAACATATCTGTTCACGACATATATTTATTTCTTTATATGTTAGAGCTGCAAATATGAAAAAATAAAAGAAACACAGCAAAAACTCTCCTTAGAAAAAAACTAATGAGGCATCGGAACAAAACATGTTTTTTTTTCCCACTGGAAAATGTTCTGTTGCTCTAAAATAACAATAAAAACAAAAGTAATGGTGCTGTCAGAGGTTGCTCGGGACTTGTGGAGCACTTTTGTTGTGTAAAAAAACTGCATTGACCTTTAGTAAAGCAGTGGCTTCGTTACTAATTACAATTCTAGTAGATGATTCGTCACACAGTAACATTTTGAAATAGGTCCTTCACCTAAAACTTTAGAATTCAGCGAAATCTAGAAATGAGTTCCAGTCCTGCAAACAAAAAACCTTTCAAGCCTTTCATAAAATCTGTCACTGTCAAAAGAAGAGATCTTGTTTGTGGGTCCGTTCTCCATTAAGGCACATCCAAACTGAGAGCAAACAGATGACTATAGCTGCTGTCTGTCTGTTTCACAGTGATTCAGACATGAAAGCTGGGCGGACCGTGACATGTGTCTCATTGATGTGCCAGATTTACTTGGCATGAATAAACACTTATGTCACCACCGATGTTGGACAAGTTGAATGTGAGCTGATGTAGCACCGGAGTGTGTTTTGCGTGCTTTCAGGTTATGAGTGAATATCTCCCGCTGCCAAATGTGAGGCGAAAAGGTTGTTTGTTTTGTTTTTGACCGTGTGCATGTGTGTTTATTTGACGAAATATCTCACAAACCAATGTCCAAAACCTGCCCTTTGGAGTCAACTCCATTAAAGATGGCCGCCCTCAGAGAATAGACATTAGCAACTCACAAATGATGATGATTCAGTCATTTTGTACAGATTTGAGCAAAGACTCAATCATTTTCAATATTTTGTTTCTGTAAATTACAAGTAATATATAGATTTCACACATGCATTATTCTTACCCACATCATTACCATCATTGTTTATTTATAAAGCCCATTAAAAACCAAAGTGCTGCACAGGAACATAAAATCCAAACAATAAACAAAGTACAGGGTTAACAAAATGAACAATCAACCAAAACAAAGGCTGGCCTAATGATCGTGCTCTCAAGTCTCAAACGTCCRTTTAAAAAAAACGAGTTTTTAAAAGAGACATAAAATCATTTAGAGACCCAGTGGACCTTGCAGACAATGGAAGATTGTTGCAGAGCCTAGGACCTGCAACTGAAAAAGCTCTGTCTCCCCTGGTCACAAGCCGAGACCTGGGAACAACTAAAAGCTTTTGATCCATAGATGTTAGAGATCTACTCGGAAAGTGTAAAAGCTCCATAAATAAGGAGGTGCCAGCCCATTTAGACATTTAAAAAACAAAAACAACATCTTAAAAACTATTCTAAAAGAAACAGGCAGCCAGTGAAGAGAATACAAGATCAGACGGATGTGTTCGTGTCGTTTTGTCTCCGTTGAATTCTGCAGCAGCTGTACACGACAAAACAAAGACTGATCAATCCCGCAATAAAGGGACTTGCAGAAGTCCAGTCTAGACGTGATAAAAGCATGAATAACCCTCTCAACTGCATTTTGAGGAAGATAATATTTAATTCTACTTTTAGGCCTCAGATGATAAAAGCTAGATTGAACTAATGCACTGATGTGTTCATTACATTTAAAATCAGTCCAAAGTCACCCCAAGATTCCTAACAAACACACGACCAGACAAAATTTATCCTCTCTGGGTTGCTGTTCATTCTAGACAGGTTGCAAGTCTATCACAGAAAAACTGTCCATCTTACCAAGTTTTAAAATCTTATATCCAGCCAAAAAGTCTTTTTGATCTTGTTTTGAGACTGATTTACTAAACAAGAACCGACTGTGTAAGAATAATAATCTTGTTTTCAGATTGTGTAAGATTATTTGTCTTGTTAATCTGAAAATTCGACTCAAATTAAGTCAAAAATTTCTGCCAATAAGAATAAGAAAATTTTACTTGGTAAGATTCTTGAAATACTTGATTTGACGCATTTTTTTCTTATTTCAAGAATCTTACCAAGTAAATTTTCTTACTCCACTGGCAGAAATTTTTTACTTAATTTGAGTCAAATTTTCAGACTAACAAGACAAATAGTCTTACGCATTCTGAAAACAAGATTATTATTCTTACATGATCAGTTCTTGTTTAGTAAATCAGTCTCAAAACAAGATCAAAAAGACTTTTTGGCTGGATATAAGATTTTAAAACTTGGTAAGATGGACAGTTTGTAGAGAGAAACAACCATTGACACAATAATAGGAAACAACAGGAACTGGAAACCACCTGGAGAAAACCCACTCGTGTACAGGGGGAAATTACAAACTCCACCCAGAAAGGCCAGGATTTTATCCATTAAGAAGTAACACCAACTGCACCACTGATCAATTTTATTGAATGTTTTTTTCTTTTAATTAAATMAAAAAAAAACATTGTCCTTAAGATGTATTTTATTGAAGACTCACCTATGGATTAATGAGCTGAAGTGATAAAGAAATGAGGTTCGGGTCAGTGTTTGGAACTGGATTTCCCTTTCTGAACCCCTCCTTTAGTCAGCTGTTGCCATAAAAATTTTACAGTCATGACTTGATGGGAAAACAGATGGCAACTTAAAATGTGGAGTTTAAGCAAAATACATTAAGAGCACAACTAATAAACATAATCAGAACAGTAAAGCAGAGATCACCATAATGACGTGCCACCAGCTGTTCCAGATGAGGACATAAGACAACTCAAAGTGTATTTCCCAGCTGGGAACATTTTCCTGATGATGCCATCATCCTGTGTTTACGTTTGTGTTTAGACATATATTAGTATCACATGTTTGTGTTGTCTTGACTCTACAGCAATTTACTGATTGAACATTTTTGGCAGGAGTTTTACAAATAGGCAGCAAAATGTTCTGCTATTAGAATACAAACAAAATGCTAACTTAAAATGAGATAAATAATGTAATCAAAAGCAGACCTGAGAAAGTATCACTGAGTTCAGCATGATTTAAATCGATACTTATTTGAAAACATCTTTAGTCGGTGACTGCATCAGATTTTTACACCAGGGGAGACAAATGAATCCAGTATCCATCGTGAAAAAAATGCTGAGCCCAGGCTTTGGGTGTGCGCAGATCAAGTATTAGGTCAAGTGGGTCTGTTCAAATAGCTTGGGTCTGCTGTGTGAAACTCTCAAGAGGAGTTTGATGGTAGGATGAGAGGGGCAGGGTGTGTTGGTCAGCTGTTAATGATGCTGTCAAGTCAGGGAGTCTCCCTTCTCTGGAGAAAAGTCTGACTCATGGTCCTTAACTGGCTGGCCTACTTTCACTGGAACTGGAACTGGGGTTCACAGCATCAAGCATTGTTCTGCGAACACGTACGCTTACAGTAAGTAAGGGCCCAGTAGCTTTGCAGAAATGTGTACTCGGGGGATGAAAGCCAAAAGGAGCTGCGAAGAAATGACAGTCAAAGGAAAAAAAGGACAGCTACATGACGTCTGTGGAGAGTGAAGCAGTTTTGGGTCCACTGGTTTAAAGGAAGCATGTCATTATTTAAACGAGGCTCACATGAAGGAAGGATGCTTTTCTGTTAAATATACAAAATGAAACTATAAACGAGCCATTTTACCCTCACTCTTTTTCAATCCAGTTTCCCTTAATCACAAAACTTGAGGCACTTGCGTATTGATTTTTTTAAAGTATTGATTCAGTTGTTCTTTTGTTTATGCTGCTCAGGTAAAACTCGAAACAAGCTGAGGTATGACTGCAAAAGTGAGTAAAAGAGCTAAAAATAACACAGATAAGAAAGTGAATTAATTCTAAACCTAACTCAAAATAATTGTTAGTAAGTTGTATGTTGGATTTAAAACCAGGCAATTTGAAGCAACCAGCACAGTGGTTGGATTTTGCCCAGGTGAAAAAATATTATACTAAGTATACTAAATCTRAATATACTTTAGTATACTTGAAGCCACACTAATCATCAGCAACTTAAAGAGTGCTATTTTGGAACAGCTAWTTTAATACTAAATATACTTTAGTTGTATTTAAGTAGTGCAAAAGCACAATTTCAAGTATATTAAGAATACATTTAAATACTAGAATGGAACAACTTTAAATATACTTAGTACACTTTAAGTGTATATCTTTGTCTATACACTTAAAGTGTTCTAGGTATATTTGACGTTGTTCCATTTTAGTATTTAAAAGTATACTTAATACACTTAAAATTGTGCTTTTGTACAACTTAAATACAACTAAAATATATTTAGTATTAAATTAGTTCTTCCAAAATAGCACTCTTTAAGTATACTGATGATCCGTGGGGCTTCAAGTATACTAAAGTATACTTAGATTTAGTATACTTAGTATAATATTTTTTAACCTGGGAGCTGAAGCAAACACCAGCTTATTATTGTGATAATTCAAAAAGTAGATATTAAATCTTATTAAAAACTTGTCATATTWATAATTGCTTTTAATTGTATCCAGCAGCAGGTTCTTATTTAAAAACAGATATTGCACCTTGTTGGCACACTGCTCTTACAGTATGCTGGTATAATTAGTTCACAATATTAGTATTTGTTGTGTTTAGAGGGTGAACGCCAGCTGTGAGATCATGCAAGGTGGTGCGCGTGTGGAGCTGCTCTGCAGGCTGCTGTGAGTTTTATTGCATTACCCAAAGAAGGGAAATATGATGTCATTAACATGTGTCTCATCTACGGCTAAGACTCCATTTCCTGGTGTGACAGCTAAGCTGAGGATAAGGAGTTTCTGTTCTCATAATAAACTCCAGAAAAATTCTTGCTTCCTCACTCTCGCCCTCACACAAGCTGCTTACTTTTCTCATTCACTCCCACAGAGCACTCTATTATTTTCTAGTTTTGCCTTATTTTCAACCAAAACTGTGACATTTTCATGAGTAAACAMTCAGTTTTATTTATGTTCTTAAATAAAAATGATTTTTTTTGCTCAAATACAAAGCAAATATTCATCGCAGTGTGATAAAAAGTATACAAAACAAATGCAAATAAGTTCTCCCTTTAGTACAAAAACAGGCAACATAAGTGAGTTTTTACAAGAGAAATAAGTTAAAGAACAATAAAACATTAAAAAAACAAATTGTCTGTTAGACAAGCCAACAAACACATAATAATAATAATAAAACTATTAGGATGACTCTTCAAAAACTTGACTAACCATATGGTTCTATTAATTCTTCCATATTAATTCTGCCCCATTATTACTCCGAGAACTTGAAATGTGATGCAATGCCTTGAAAGTCACAAAGAAGTCTTTGTAATGCATAACTCCTAACCTCAAAGTCCTCCAAATTTCTGTTTGTCAAAAATGTATTCATATGAGTGGAATACTACAAATGTGCTCATTTGTTTTACAGTTTACGCTCACCGAGGTCAAAAAGACACCTCTAAACCACACATTTCTTTTTTCTTTTTTTTTCTATTTTGCATCTAACAAAAGAAAACCCTTTTACTCACTTCAGATCAAAACAAAATATATTCTCATTTATCTGATCAAGTTGAATACATTTGTGGATGCAGAGATTTGTCAGACAAAAATGACCTTGCTGTTTGATGCTGWGTGTTTAGAGCACTCAGTGGCTCCAAGACAAATAGAAAGCATAGTGGTTTAGAGAACAGATTATTATTATTATTTAAAGCGCAGATAGAAACATGTTGCAGTTTCAATCTTAGCACTTGATATTTAACCCTTTACATGGGGCTTCAAATTTTAAGGGTTCTGCTTTAAGATCATTAAATACTCAAATGAAAGTAATGTTTTCAGATCATCGAGATGATCATTTTAATCTGACAACCYAGTTCAAACATTTTGCAACAAGGCATAGATGCAAAGCCTGTATAAGCAAAGAGGAAAAATTCAGTTGATCCCTATATAAATTAGAGACTTCAAGGGTTAGAGGCAWTCATGAAATGAGCACCACTTAATTAAATAGTATGGCACAAAAAAAGTTGAATTTGCAAATAAACATTTTTTCCAATAGTTCCCTGTTTATGCAGAGAAAAATGCACAACAGTGTATCTGCAGAACATCTTTTGAATTATTGTCTATATGATACAGTATTGACAGTATTATACATTAAAAACATACGTACATAGCACATTTTTATTTATGGTGTTCCTATGATTCAGCAGTCATTTGGGGGCAGAGCTTTGCWGATCCTTTGGGTATGAGCAAAACAGGAAGAGTTCATTTAACRGAAATAGTGGAATTTCTGTTTCTCATGTTCATGCTTAGATGGATTAATGTGTCTCTGTTTGCTTTGTCCCATTTACATAACATGAAGGTAGGTTGCTTTGTTGTCCACTCCAATTACGTTTTTGGCAGTGCATCTGTAAAACCCTGTATCCCTGTGTGTCGGGTTCTGGATCACCAAAGAGCCCTGAGGACTCAGATAGCGGTTGCCATAAATCCGAGGCTGACCCATCACCCTCAGCTGTACCASGTCCGGTGTTTCCCAGGTTACTGTGGCCCGTGGTGTCGCTATAGTCAGGCAGGGCAGCTCCACAGCAACACCTTGACTGGTGTAGGTCACAGGAGAGGGGCCTTTTGTGATGCGGGGAGGGTAGGCAATAACAATGACCGGAACTGTGAGGACAGATACCGAGTCCTGACTGGAGACTTTGCAAGTGTAGCTGCCTCTGTCAAACACAGAGGTGTCTTTAATAATTAGTGTTCCATCTTCATGCACTGTGAAACGACCCGAGTCTYCATTTTCACCCCTGGATAGAACCTTGCCACCGGGTGTTGTCCATAAAAACGAGACCTGGGTTTGAGTAGTGGGACAAGGCAATCTGAGGGTTTCTCCATTAATGGTGCTCACTAGCGGGGCTGTTCTGGTGCTCACTGTGGGCTCAGAGATCAAGCTCCTGGATGGTAAAGAGTTTACAGGACGAGGATACTCAAACAAACTGAAGCTCTTCTGCAGGTGYGGCAGAGGCGGCACTGGTCTTGAGGATTGAGGTGGATTTAATGGAACACCTGCTTGTGATTTTTTCTCCACGGCTCCCTCTTGTGGAGACCTTGTATCCACTTGTGGCTCCGATACCTCCAGCTCCACCCGGATCAGCATTTCCTCTTTTTCACTTTTCACTACGCAAAGAAAAGTACCACCGTCATCCACTCGTAGGCCCCGCAGCTCCAAAGAGCCGTTTCGGTGCACAGTGAGTCGACTGCCATAGTAAGGAGCTGGCAGCATGCCGTTTCCTGGAAGAAGCCAGGACAGACGAGGTGCAGGAAACCCTTGGGATGGGCATGGTAGAAGAACTGTCTGGTCTTTAATCGCTCGCTGCTTGATTATTGTTACCACACCCTGAGCTGCACCAGAACTACCACTTATACCATCACTGTTTCTTCTACTGTCACTATTCCCTCCTAAATTACTATTCTCACTAAAACCATGTCCTGCAACTGTACTACCAGCTCCACTATTTGACAAACTACTGCTAAAGCTTTCAACACTTCTTGAAATACTTAATCTGTTGTTGTATCTGTTGACGTTAGCATCATTTTTGGTTCTTCCTGCAGTGATTTCATAATTGTTTGCTCCAGGATCTCTGTCACCACCATTTTCTTTTAACGTATTTTGACTGTAACCTAAACTATTACTTTGACTCAATATGCTAGGTTTGTTTTTGTTTGTTTCACTGGTATCTACTTTAGTGCCGACACTTTGTGCTCTGTTTGGCCCAGCAATGATCCCACCTAGCTGAGTTGTAAATCCACCCACAGGACTCTTGAATCCATTCTGATGATAACTTCTCAAGCCAGGATTAGAGCCACTGAGTATTACATTTACATCAGTGTTTTGTACCACATTTTGAATTCTACCATTATTGCCGCCTGGCTTGTTTGTGATCCCACTAGTAGATGCATGCTTGATGATTGGTTTGCTGTCAGTGACGTCTCCTGATCGAGTGTCATGGCTGCGCTCATGTTCACGGTTAATTCTCCAACTTTGTTCTGACACTTGCTCACGTGGTCCATGTGTAAAGGGCTCAACTTGCAGGCTTACCACAAAGTTTCTCACCCCAGCTGAGTTCCTTGCTTGACATGTATAATTTCCTGCGTCTGTCTTTTGGGCTGAACGCACCTTGAGGGTTCCATCTGAAACCACAGCAATTCGCTCAGAATAATAGTCAAATCCTAAACTCTGTGGGATGACACGACGTGCTGGGGAAAACCACGACACCGTTGGTGCAGGATCTCCCCTGGCCCAGCAGGGAATTGTGACAGTTTCTCCCTGGCGTACTTTGATGAAACTGTGGCTTTTGCCATCGGCAAAGGTTGGTGGAGCTGTCTTCACAGTCTTTACTTTGACCTTAAAGAAAATGAATAGACAAAAATAGTGAATAAATGCTAACACTTAAAATTCATAGCTAAAACTTGACAGTCTTATTTGCATTTATTAACAGTGTTTTATTTTTTATTATTAAATTTTAAAAGGCAGCTACAGAGAGAAGAATATTATTTAATAAATAATAAAAATATATTTCTTAGGTTTCCAAGAAAGATGGCTCCATTTACCTTCATGGTGTCTTGACCTGCTTGGTTTTCAGCATAGCATATATAAATGCCTTCTTCTCCCACGCCTACAACTGGAACCAATAATGTCCCATTATCAAACACAGTTAGTTTCTGTGGTCGATTCCTATTGTTTTCCACACTGCTAACCATGGTTCCATCTGGTAGGCTCCAACGCACAGCTGGAGGAGGCAGGCCAGATGCCTGGCAGTCCATCTGCAGAGGATTAGAGTATCAGTGGTGCATTTAAATGTGTTCTTTTTTATCTTMATCTGCCTGAAACAAATTAATTTTCTTTATTTTAAGTTATCCTGCATGCCCATTGTGTCTATTTTATTACAAGTGAAAAAAGCAGCACATAAAACACATCTAATCAACTATCGATTTAGTGGGACTCWAAGGGCACCACCAGAAGCTCATAAATGTTTAAATTGAATTAAAAATAAAGAGTAGCACATTTCCACAATATTATAGGATTTCATTTCTTGCATTCAACCTTTATGACATTATTTTTCATTGTGGCCTAAATATTGATTGGTGCATTATCGTTCCCTTAAGGTGGATATTTAGGATTCATAAAAGCCTGTTGTATGACCTGTCTGCTTTTGTGTTTTCAATTACAAAACTCTTTCTCTGCCAGGTTATTTCTCAGCAATTGGATGCATTTTTATGCTAAAAGGTGACTTTGAACATTGTCAGAGCTTCAGATTAGTCTTCAAAAACAATTTCTTAATGACACAAATAGAATCAAAATATTTCAATGATTTATTTATTTTTAAARGTCAGCATGTTTATGTTGAATATCTGCAAGTGGAGATATTATCTTCTTTAAAATAACTAGTAACTAAACCACATYGATTAAGTGATAAAGACTGGATTCATTGCGTAAGCACCTCATAGGCCTTTATACATTTTTATTGGATACTGTGGTTTTATATAGTCATGTCAATATCATCTCTATTTTAACAATGATGGTAAATTTTAGATTATTAGTAAACTCAGATCAGTATGTGGCTATTTGTACGTAATAAAATAAATAGAAAATTGCAGACACTTTTTTTGTTTTATTCATATTTACCTTCAGTGATTTCCCAAATGACACCAAATGATTAAGAGATTGTTTTGGCTCGATCTTTGCAGGCCTGGTTGCCACATTCACGTGCAAAAGTCGATAATCATCTGCAACCTTATTGCGTGCGATGCACAGGTAGTCTCCACCATCTTTCTCTGTTACTGTTTGGACCAACAGTGTGCCGTTTGGATGCACCTTCAGACGCCGATCAAAGCTTAAAATCAAATGTGAACACAGAAGTGCATACAAGTCATTTAAGGTCTTAAAGCTGAACTAGAAATGCTACTGTCAGAGCCATCATAAGATATAAGAATAAAAACATCAAACATGCACAGTCATTCACTGTACCTGTATTGTGTGTCTACTAGTTTCTTTCCTGGGGTCCTCCAGATAATGTTGGGGGTGGGGTTGCCAGTTACAGAGCAGTAAAGCTTTAAAACTCCCCCATAGTTGACAGTGGAGGTGGAGGGTGATGTTGAGACAATATGGGCTTTAGTGAAAGGGGAGACAGGCACCGGCTGCAAACCAGATGAGACCTTTCTGTCTGCTGGGAGAGAAAGAACTCTTGTACTGTTTATACTGTGCRAGACTTTACTGTTATATGTTGGCACAGTGGACTGTGAGAAAACAGAGGAGGGATTTGCTTTTTTGATGTTGGGAAAGTGTGAAGGGTAAGCTTTTACTGTTTTATTGATTTTAGGAGGTGAGTTAGAGGAAGAGTTAAAAGGGCTTGGGCTGATCGACAAGTTCCTAGATCTGTCAGAGGGATGTACAGGGGAGATTTTCCTGGAGTCGAATGGATCTGAGGGGTGGTTGGGGATGACCAATGTTTTGTCTTTGTTGAAAGAAGATGAATTAGATGCTGTTTTGTCTTTCATGCCTTCAATTCTCACTTCTCCTTGTTTTGCAAACTCTTCAACTTTTACCCACACTGTTCTCTTAGAGGTCCCTACAGCATTACTGGCTGTGCACTCATAACTCCCTGCATCTTTTGGCCCAACTTTGCGAATATGCAGCGTCCCATTGGTTAAGACAAAGAGGTTGCCGTGAAGGAATTGGGATGGACGCACAAGGGTCCCATCTGGGATTCGCCAACGCAGAGCTGGTGGTGGGGCTCCTCGGGCAGAGCAGTGTGCATAAACAGGCCTCCCCAGAGAGAAGAGCAGGTGTTCCTCCTTGGGTTGTTGTATCACTGGGGGCAACGAAGACACGTGTACACGCACCGAAGCACTGGCTGCACCAGCCGAGTTGGACGCCACACAGCGATACACTCCTCGATCACTGGGTGAAATCATTGGGATGTGAAGAGTTCCGTTTGCATCCACGTTGATTCGACTGGAGGAGGTGACGGCAGAGGTTAGAGTGGAACGATCAGGCAGAACCCAGGAGAGCAGCGGGGTTGGAACACCATCTGCTTGGCATTCCAAGTGAACGTCTCCACCCTGATGAATGGTTACTTCTCTGGAACTTGCCAGCTGCATACGAGGAGGGCGGGTCCAGACATCCAGGGTAGTGAGCAACCTGTCATGAATACGTTGAACAAACTCGTTTTCATTACTGACATAAAATACATCAATTTTAAGCTTTTTACACAAAGCTGTAATTCAGACATATAAAACCCATTCTCACTCCCAAGTCGTCACATATTGACGTTTTTCCAAGGTTCCCTCTGCGTCCGATTTTGACACATCAGGTACCCCCTCGCGTCAGTTATTGACGAGATGGGGCGGAATCCATTGTCATAATTTCAGAACGTGTAGAAAATGCACAAAAACTAACCTTCACAAAACCTGAAATTCACTCTAGACATCCTGTCCCTGACCCTAGTACCTAAGATTAACTATCAACCCTGACCCCTAAAATGAACCATTTTTAGAAAGTGAAGGAAATTCACGTCAACTACGTGCCCCAAAGCCTAAAATTACCTAATAATCGCCCTAGACATCCTATCCCTGACCCCACTACCTAAAATTAACCATTAACCCTGATCCCAAATATTAACCACGGACCCCAACTCAAAGACCCCTATATTTTGCGTCCCAACGTGTCAAACCCAGATGCCAAGGGAAAATGGAAATGCCTGGTGTGTCAATAACTGACGTGACGGGTGTACCCGAAGCATCAAAATAAGACGCAGAGGGAACCTCGGAAAAGTGTCATTATGTGACGAGTCGGGAGTGAGAATGAGTTAATATGTACAGAACACAAACAAACAGCTTTCACCAAGACATATTTGGATTTATCCTTACATAAATTAGACATAACTGTGGAAATTAAAGGCCTGCCATTCTTTATAGGAATGTATTTAACACTGGTTTCTAATGTCAGTGTTAATCTAATCTCCGTTGAAAAGTGACAATTTTGCAGCCATTTCAGTCAAATCTTGAAAACAACCTTATGCACCACTTTATTAACGTGTTGTGTTATGGCTCTCAGCAACTTCCACATCAAATTTTACCTCATTATCTGAAATTGATTGAGTTATAGCCATTTTGTGTTGGATGACATCAATGAGCTATAGTAGTCATCTTGAATCAAGTTAACGCCGTAATTAGATGTAGACGTATCTCCAATGACTGAAAGCTTCATTAAAAGACAATTCATACGGCGGTTCATATTTTGAAGACAGACCAAGTCGACTCCAAATAATTTATGGCAACTTTAAACAAAGATATTTTACAACGTAATACTACTCAAAATATTAAATTGGTCTCCCTCTCGGTTCCTACCATGCCAGCTTTTTGGCCAACATTTGTAAAATTGAGAGTTGTACTTTTTTTGTGTGTGTGTGTCTGATCCATTCTCTGTGAAAGTATTTTTGAATTTAGTTGACTCCAAAAGTTAATCAGTTAAATCCACATTTATTAWTATTTTTGAAAATTTCATTAAAATTTATTCAGTGATGAGATATTTTGGTAATAGACAGACACACTCAGTCAAAAACATTATTGTCCGCACTCACCTTTCAGTAGTGTGCAATAATAAGATGCCTAATCAAAGACTTTACAATAACTGAGTTTTCTGTGGCCCAAAGTCATTAAAACTGATTACACTGTGACCCAAGGTCATCGCAACTGAATGTAATACAGACTTGTGCATTAATATGCATTTCAAACATCAATATTCTCACCTGTCACGACCCAGGAAGCTGGTCGCACTGCAAATATATGTGCCCCTGTCCTGCAGCTGAACATTCTGGATAACAAGGGTGCCGTTTGGCAAGACCTCAAAACGCTGAGCCCTGGAGTGGATTGAYATCACTGCTCCTGAGAGAAAAGCATGGAGGGAGACGAAAAGAGAAAAAACAGTAAGAAGTACAGAGAGTTAGGAGGTAGAAGACAATATTGGATAAAAAAAGTTAGAGTGAAAAAGAAGAAAAAATGAAAATCAGGGCCATGTTGAATGGCACAGCTTGAAGTAAAGCCAATGAAGCGTTGCACAAAATGTTTCATTACTTCTCTGCAATGTTTTTCCAGCATGAGAGGACAGAAAAAAAGCCTATTATGTACATGTCAGTGT